ATTAATACAATTTTTAGTTAAGATTTAAAAATAAGTTATTCATTGAATATGTTTTATTAGCTTCCTATTGTTCGCCTTAAATCTTATTGATAAACAATTAAAAAGTAATCTTTAAACAATTATGTATCTTGACAGAAGTAAAGCAGCACATGATGTTTTTGTCATGGCCTATTTAAAGCATATGAACTGTGATTCTGATCTTGAACTTCCAATATGAACTGTGATCTTTTATCACAATGAGAAAGAATAATAAGACTGTCTAATCAACACATATTTTATTGAAATTATTGTACCTACTGGTCAATATTTTCTATCAATAGTTAATGACCAATTAATAATATTTATAACCGATAATTTACTAATTTTATTAATTAGTTAAATTATAATTTTTGATGATCAACTCATTTTACTTATAAATATTTTTTATTGTAATCAATCAAACAAATAACAAATTTCAAGCAATTAATATGAATATTGTACATTATTAATTCAAAGTCAACAGTTATGCTTCATAAAATAAGATTTTCCTTGAAGTCGCACATTGCGGTAATATCAGTGCATGATGCTTTGACCCCAAGATAGGCATTGACCTACAGATATAAAACAAGATTCCTTGCTTACTTGGAAATATGAAGTGTAATAATTACGATTTAGACTCGATTATCACAGTTTTTCTGTTCATAATATCCAATACATTTATTTCTAATATTTGCAAAACACCTATTAGTATAATAAAAATTATAAATCAGTGAATTCAGAAAAAATTTTATGTAATTTTACCTTAGTAACTGATGGCCTCCAAATCTTAAAATATGTATTGAATTATTATATGGATACTGCGCATAAAATAAATAAAAAGATGTAATTATGAAATACACGTTTTAATATTACTGGAATGCTTATATCAAGCAAGTACAGATCTCTTAACTTACATAAATAGGTCAAGGTTGTACAGAAAAACAACCTCGTGTCACACAGATCTCGATAGAACGATTTATTAACATGTTGTGATCAAATTAATTTCAATCATTTATTTCAGAAACTGAATACCACCATACGGTTCTTTAATAGATCTGATTATTATACATTACATGGTAGTGATGCTCTCTTTGCTGCTCAAGAAGTTTTTAAGACTACATCAGTTTGCAAAATGATAGGTTCAGGTATGTATTTTTACTTTCAACATTTATTTTTAATCTGTATAATAAAATAGATATTTGATGTAGATCCATATAAAGTCGAGGGAGTTATTCTAAATAAAAACCACTTTGAGGCTTTTATACGTGACTTATTATTAGTTAAGCAATACAGAGTGGAAGTATATGTTAACCAAGGATCAGTAAAAAATCAAAACTGGACATTAGAGTACAAAGGTTCTCCTGGAAATTTAACTCAGTTCGAGGATGTGCTATTTGGCAATAATGATGTGGCAGAAACAGTGCGTGTAATAGCTGTTAAACTGGGAATGGATGGAAAGTCCAGAGTGAGTCATAATATTCTTGGTGAAAATAATTCAGATGAAAGAGTGACCACTAAGAACTAAGTTAATTATTACAATACTTTGCAGATGGTTGGTTTAAGCTGTGTTGATACTACTGCAACTTCATTTTCTGTTTGCGAATTTCAAGATAATGAATCATTTTCTGACCTGGAATCCCTGGTTGTTACACTTGCTCCTAAAGAATGCTTATTAATTCAAGGCGAAGGCAGCCACGAATTTCAAACTCTAAAACAAGTAAATATTGCTTTTACATATATTGAGATAGACCATGAATAATTCTAATCTAATCTAATCAGTAAAAAGTGTACAATTAAATGAGGACGTCGAAAATGCCCTTGAACTAAATTATAATAAACCACCAATGTTTAATTCGGTTCAAGGACATATTTATAATTAATACTATCAATAGCAATAAGCAAATAATATAAATGATAATATTTCATCACATAGTGTAATATCAATTTTACGTTTGGCGCTTATGAAAATCATTTTCATCTATTATCCCTAGTTACCAAAAAAGTGAATTTGGTAGAAAATAATTAATTTTTAATATTAAGAATTTTTTTGTTTTAACCATAAAACTCTTAAATAAACACTGATAGCACCTTATAAATATCTACAGCACTATGTTACTTTGTTAATCGAAAAAATATCAACATTTGAAATGATTTTTAACTATTTCTATAGGAAAATAGGAGGTCTGT